CTCCCTCCACCGAGAGAGGTATATAACTATGTTTGCAGGGGTTCACTCTATAGCCTTAGGAGTAGTGATAGGTAGGTAGTAATAAATGGAAAAAGATATGTTCCATGACATGGTCAAAGCAAGTTAAAAGTTTGGAGAAAAGTATATATACATCCGTCCCCTAATGACAAAAAGACAACTTTATAAAGGGAAAAAAAAGAGAAAACAAAAGGGATAACTTCGACGACGTCGCAAAAACAGTTTGAAAATGCATTACGCAATCCCGCGAACACAACACACCCCCACGTGACCCCACCGGACCCGGCCCCTAGATTGTATACATTCAACATTACCGGCCCTTTTGCCTCAAGTGCATTTTCAAACTCAAACCCTGTCTGCGCCATAGTTTTATCAAAACAAAAAAGGAAAACTAGGGCACCATCATAATTTCAATTTGAAAATGCGTTCAGCCACGATTTTACAAATGTTGTATCAAACTGAGGAAAATCGTGAATGTATACAACCCAACTTCAGGGTCGGGTGGGGATGTGTTGTATTCGAGGGATGCGTGAAGTGGATGTTAAACTGAAATCACAACTGCACCCTAGCTACTCCCCCCACTACAAAACTCGACAATGGCTCTGGCCTGCATTTTTTTTCATGTTGTTGTACATATATGGGACGCTAGACCCGGTTTTCAGGAGGTGCAGCTAGAAAGGGGTCATCTGTTGGGGGTGCTATAAAGGGCTGCTCCCATCACCTCTGATTCAGGCAAGCAACGCAGTGTGCCCGTAATTTAAGCATAACAATTGGCCCTGCGATGGGATTGAGTCGGCGGCGCAGCGCGACCAGGAGCGCTGCGCCGCCCATACTCGGATTTCGGCCTGCGGGAGCGACGAACGCTGCGATGCAAGGTGAGAGTTGATGATGCGGACGGTGCGAGGAGTAAACCTTGGGTTGACGGGACTTCTGTCTCATAATCAGGGTCGGGACACAGGATATTCTGAGGTAGTGCAGTGGGGAGAAGCGTGGTGGATGGACAACAGAGCCTGCTATTGTTGGGTGACTTTTGTAGGGCCACGTGTATTTTCATCAGCAGGGTATGACTAACCCGACAACAGTGATGATCATGATACGAGGAACGATCAACGGTGGTAGGATGTGTCTCTCCCCTTCCTCGACAACAGGGTAAGTACAAATTAACATTTTTTTTTTTTTTCTGGAGGTTTCGAACCCCCTGTGGTGACTCACCAACAGGTTTGGTGAGGAGGTGCCACACCGATTTTTTATTCTTTTCAGGGATCGAAGATGGCCGTCGATGGTTTTCGGTGTTAGCAGTGCCCAGAGCCTTAATAGCTAGCAGTGGGAGGAAGGGTTCTTCCTTCCCCGAAGACGCTGGGGTAGGGTTTGAGGGGAAGGAGGTAAGTAGGTGTTGTCGAGGAAGGGGAGATAGGGGTTACTCGCTGATCTGCTCAGGTGGCGATTTGTTAGCCCATGCTCTAATGATTGTTAATAACAGTCCAAAATCCCTTGATCTCCTAGCTAATAACTGTCCAAAATCCTTTGATCTCCTAATTTGGTTTCTCATTGATGATCTCGATTTAGGATTCTTGATTGTTCTTGAGTGTTTTTTCATGTCTTATTGTCAATTGTGAAGGTTGCGATGAAGATTTCAAGTTGTAATTCTTCTACATAGGTATTTTTTTCTCTCTACGTCCTGGAATAATTTTGAAATAAAATTTTGCAATATTTTAATCCTAAGAGTCTAATGCATTTGTCAATTTGAAAGTCGCGAATCAGACTGCGATTCTGATAGATTCACAATTCTGAATGTTTTTTACTAAACATAGCTTCTGAAATTATAATCCGGAATTCGTCGGGATCTTCATGCGTCCGTTTTTCCAATGTTTTTTTCTAATGATTGTTTCTTCTACAATCTAAAATATTTTTACTACTATCATTGTTGTTTTATTTTTCAATGAATTTCCCAAGTTGGATTCAATTCGTTGTTAATTTTCTAGGGACTTTGTGACAGAATTTTTTGCTTTTTAAATTTTGATCAGAATTTGACATACTTATTTTTGTCAGAGTTTTGTCGAAAATTTGAATAAGGATGGTCAAGTGGGGCATCTTGTAGAGTCTTGGGGGATTTTGTTTTGAAGGAGGGAGCAAAGGGCATCAAATGATTCTTCGCAAGGATGGAGAGGGGATGAAATAAGGCTTTCTAACGGGTACCAGTCAGGGGGAGCTCTTATCAGATGCGATTGGCGTTGGGTAGTTTAGGCTTTCCAATAGGTACCGACTGATGAGGGTGAGCCTTGGCGCGATTGGCGTTGGGTAGTGTTGTTTTATCCCCTCGAGGACGGAGACTGAAATTCTTGTGGGGGCAAGGAATTTAAAGGTGATGATGGTACCCGCCCTTTGTTGAGATGAGGTTCTCTGGACTTTTTACGAGGACGGAGTTTGGGAGAACGAATGAGGTTTTTCCTTTCGATGATGGAGGGAGGATTGTTCGGGCTGTCTGTTTCTGGGGCTGCCTGTTTCCCTGAATTTGTCGTATTCTTGTCAGAGATAGTCAAGTGAAGTATCTTGTAGGGTTTCGGGGGAATTGTTTTGAAGTAGGGGATGGGGCATGAAATGATTCTTTGCAAGGACGGAGAAGGGGATGGAATAGGGTTGCTTGACGGGTACCGGCTAGGGGGAGCTGTTATCAGATGCGATTGGCGTTGGGTAGTTTAGACTGTCTAATGGGTACCGACTGATGAAGGCGAGCTCTGGCGCGATTGGCGTTGGGTAGCGCTTGTTTACCCCTTTGAGGACGGAGACTAAAGTTTTTTGTAGGGGAAAGGAACTTCGAGGTGATGATGGTGCTCACCCCCTGCTGAGAAGCGGTCATCGAAACTCCTTACGAGGACGGAGTTAGGAAGGACAGATGGGACTGAGATGGAGGGAGTTGGGGTGGATGCGATTGGCGCCAAGTATCTTGGCGGGTACCGGCCACTGACTACTAACTCCACCTGAAACAACCTTTCGATGATGGAGGCAGGATCTTGTGGGTTGATTATTTCAGGGGCTGCATGTCTTCATATTTTCTAATTTTGACCTATCATCAAAGGCCGTCCCTGCTCAGTTAATCCCCTGATCTCCGGGGCAATCAATGCTGGCAGGGGGAGGTCTTCTTAAATTTGTCTAAAAAAAGAGGTGTGCGGGAGAAGTAGATGGTTTGGATATCAAGTGTCCTACTTGTGAGGGGGCTAGCTCCTAGGATGGAAATAAGGTACAGCAGCAGCAGAGATAGTGGCTCTGCTGCAGTAAGTCTTGCCGGAGTGAGGTAAAGAGGATTGATGGGGGGGTTCTGGAAAGAACAAAAAAAAGGGTATAACTGCAATTTTGCGACACCAACATTGGCCCACCTCGGTCTCAGGCATGCATATAATTTCCACAGGCCAGTTCCCGGGTATAGACGCAAGCTGGTCACTGCGACTGGGTATAGAAGAAATTCCCATCTTTTAACAAGGTAAAGATGCAATTTCCCAAAAAAATGGCTGACCTCTGGAAAGCGGAACATCTACCTACTTTCCCACCTATTGGTACCGGCCTCTTTTTATTTATTTTTTTGATAGGGGAAATTGCATCTGTACCAGATGCGAATACCCGCTATACCCAGTCCCAACGCCCAACTTGCATCTATACCCAGACCCCGTTCAACGTTGCATAGTACCCGACTTTTCCTTTGTACGAAATTGTAGGCATACCCAGTCCTGCAGGCCCTGAGTTCCAGGCAATGAAATTATGTCCATGCCCAGAAACGGGTTGGCAAAATTGTGGGTGTACCCACAGCCAGGGGTGGGCCTTGGTTGGCAGACTACAAAATTGTGGCTGTACCCACAGCCAGGGGTGGGGGTTGGTTGGCAGACTACAAAATTATGGTCATGCCCGTCACGTGGATCGGCGGCTAGGTATGAGCATAATTTCAGCCATCCGCTAGCAGGGTATCTGAATAATTTGGCCGGTCCACCTCAGTCCTGGGTATGGCCATAATTTTGCCTGGGTACGTCCATAATTTGTGCATTCCGGTAGATGGTTATAACTGCAATTTTGCGTTACCAACCTGGGTCCACCTCAGTCCTGGGCATGCAAATAATTTTCGCTGGCAGTTTTCGGGGTATAGGTGCAAGTTGGCGTTGGGACTGGGCGTAGCAGGTATTCCCATCTTTAAGTGGGGTACAGATGCAATTTTTCGTTTTTTTTTTTTATAACTCTGGTTCAATCTGGATTCGAGCTCGGGTCTGTATTGCGGCAGCGTCTGGGCGTACTAACTGCGCTACCGGTAGGCCGGTTGGTACCGCCTCTTTCAGGGTCGCTTGTGGAGGGTCGGGGAAAAAAATTCGCTTCGACAATTTAGGGTCTTGCCCATGAAGAGGTTGTTTGTTGGCATTTAGCAGAGTCTGCTGATGTTCATAGGGGAGGGGACCTGAGGGGAGGCACAGGGATTGGTCCTGTTGGCATGGTCCCTCATGCTACTGGCTGTCCCCTAGCCGGTATCGCCCACCTGCAGGTCGGGAGCAGCCCCCGCATGTTCTCTCGTGAACACGGTTCTGGCTGCTACGGGGTTCCCCGGGGCTAGGTCCCACTTCCGCGCATTAAGAGATAGAGACCGTAGATAACCGAGATCAACGGCCAGAATCTCCTAATCCGTGCAAGCGGGACCTTGCCCCCGTATGCCTACAATTAGGAGTAGTGGTAGGTAGGTAGTGTGAGGTGAAATTGAGAGAAGAATATTAAAAAAAAGAAAAGAAAAAAAGGGGTTACGGCGCAGTGGTGCCATTTCTATGCTTATGAAGCATGAACCTGGTCCCACGATCGACCATGTTCATGTGGTTGTTTGAAAGGTTACGTCGCAGTCGTGCCATGTCTGTGCTTATGAAGCATGAACCTGGTCCTACAATCGACCATGTTCATGTGGTTGTTTGAAAGGTTACGGCGCAGTCGGGCCATGTCTGTGCTTATGAACCGTGAACCTGGTCCTATAGTCCACCATGTTCATGCTAGGACGAACTTCAGACAGGTGGGGGGTCCGTGGGTGGCCCTGCCCGATAGACTTCCTACCGCTCGCACGGGCTCGTTGGCCGCTCTCTTGGAGCGCCGGCGTGCTGCGCAGGCCTGGGCGGGCAAGTGGAAGACGCCGGCGGAGCGGCTGTTGAGAAGCCCAGCCCTCGCTAGTGGCCACGTGGAAGATGTATGAGCACTACTGACACGTGGACGACAATACGTCAGCCGTGGCTCACCGACGAACGACGAGGCTGTGACACGTGGCAAGGTGTGGAGGTCTCTCAACGGTCAGCATAGCCATCAAGCTCTGCTGTGAACTCGTCATCGGCCGACCGCCTGACTCTGTTGCCATCTTCCCACGTTGTTCTCTCTCTCTCTCTCTCTCTCTCTCTCTCTCTCTCTCTCTCTCTCTCTCTCTCTCTCTCTCTCTCTCTTTCTCTCTNTCTCTCTCTCTCTCTCTCTCTCTCTCTCTCTCTCTCTCTCTCTCTCTCTCTCTCTCTCTCTCTCTCTTTCTCTCTCTTTTTAGCGCGCGTACACACACACACACACAAAGATGGTGAAGAAGAAGGAGAAGAAGCCGGCTTCGGCTTCCAAAGCATTGGCGCCGAAACATTCTATGGATGAGAAGCGGCGGCCGAACAAGAATGCGGAGCCGGGCATGAGATCAGCTTCCACTGTTCGGCGGCTGGGTATGTACAAAGCACGACCCGTGAGGAATCGAAGGGGCAAGATCTTGCGCGAGGAGTACCAATCCAAGGAACTTCCCAATACCAGAATTCAACCGGACAGGCGATGGTTCGGTGGGTTTTTACCACTCTTACTATTATTCCTCTGCTTGCTGCTCTGCTGAGTACTACTCCGTTGTTCTTTTGCTTCTTCTTCATCTCCTTCATCATCTCCTTCATCATCTCCTTCTTCTTCTGCTTGTCTCTCCGTTATTTTCCTTCTTGTGCATCATCTCTTCGTCATTTCTTTTCTTCTTCTGCTTGCCTCGGTCTCTAGCAGAGTCTGTCTCCTGCTTCCTTTCTTTTTTTATCCAAAGAAAGGAAAAAAAAAGGGGAATAGTAAGAAAAGGAAAAGGAAAAAAGGGAATAGTAAGAAAAGGAAAAAGAAAAGAAAAAAGGCGCTATGACCACCACAATGAACAAGATCATTGAGCGCAGGATCTGCGGTGTGAGATAAAAATGACTCAACGAAAATAAATATTGTAAATTAATAAATTAAATAAATTGATCCGTAGTCATGATGGAGATCGATGACGCTAACCGTCGGATTCGAGCTCGTGATGATGATGATGATGATGATCTGTACGATGATGTTGTAGCCTCTGATCTTAATGATGCAGAAAACAGGTGTCAGTATATGTAATCAACACGTAGAACACATAGTCGTGCTAAGGCGGCGTACATATGTGTGAAACAATCTCGAAATATTTCACGAAAGATCATATTTAACGCGCATGAAATAATCTCTGATCTTAGTGTATCGATCTGATTCTCGTCGGATTCGAGCTCCTGATCTGTTGTTCATTGACCAATCACGTGTGTGTGTATGTATTATTCAGTCTCTCATGAGCTTCGGTGCTGCGGGCGGTTCGTTCTCTGCTACTCTGCTGAGAGATCACCTTTAGACTTTGTTTAGTCCACGCTTACCTTCTCCCCCACCCCCCCTCCCTCCACTCTCCCCATTACACCCGTTATCTCCATCCCTATATTTAATGTAAATGACATTTGGCTGCTGTTTTTTTTTTGTTTTTTTTTTTAAATTCACGTTTTTTCTGTGTCTTTTTCTGTGTTGTGGAAATTTTTAGATTGCGGGTTCGAGTCCGAGTTTGCAGGGGAGAAATGCAGTTCGAGTCTGTGTCTTTTTTTTTTTTAATTCACAATTTTCAGATTGTGAAAAGGGGTTCATGTCTTCCAGGCAACCTCGCCTTTCTGCTAATGGGCTCGTTTCCCGGTCGGGCTACACAGGAAAAGAAAAGGGAGAGAAAGAACCCACAACTTCCTGGAGATGCAGTGATCCTCATTTTCGCACAGTTGTACGGATTTATCTGTGGGATGTGTCATTTGCTTTCTTCCCGTCTTTTCTTTGATTGGATCCCTTTCTCTTTCTCTTGCCTCTGTGAGGTCTGGTTTCCTCCTCCTCTTCTTTACCTCTCTTTTGCCTTTTGGCTGCGTGCAAGTGGGTCCTTGTGACACACGGCGATGGGGGCAGCCAGCGCTCAATCTGTCATCCACGTGGCTGGTCTTGTACGTAAGAGGTGATGAACAGGTGGGGCTTTCCTTCCTTACTTCTTTTCCTTTCCTTGTTTTGCTTTTTTTTCGCCTTCGCGCTCTGATTCACAGTGTGACAATATGTATAAAGCTGCCCGGTAAACCGTAGGGGCAGAGAGGGACAAGAGGGAGAAGAGGACAACAAACGAGGGGCTGTGACAAACTGTTTCGTCGGAGTTTCACCGACTCATATGTATGTACATATATCAATGCATTTCTCCATTCTCGGAAGAGAACACCGGCTCTGTGTGTGTGTGTGTGTGTGTGTGTGTGTGTGAGAGAGAGAGAGAGAGAGAGAGAGAGAGAGAGAGAGAGAGGTGTAAAAACTACCTCAGGGGGTTACGGAGATTATGCGGCAATCGATCTGCCATCCTGATCCCATGCTTCTCCGCGAGGTGGATTGGTCGGAAAGGTGAAGGTGCAAATGGAGGCAGCAAAGAATCGGGAAGCACGAGAGCCTAAAAGCTTTGGTGACAAGTGTGACACAAAAAAATGCGTGAAAGAGGATCTCTCTTGCAATTGGGTGATTACATACAGTATTACCGTTAATCACGATTCGAGGCTTGAAAAAAAAAAAAAAAAAAAAAAAAAAAAACGTTGGCGGGATGAGTACGTGACATGTGAAAAATTGGAAGAGGATAGAAAGGATCGACGCACCGATCGATCGATGGATGGATGGGTGGGTAGATGGGGGGAACGGATTGAATCCTCGTGCCCCCCACTCCCGTTCCATCCCCCCTCCGCGGCCCACCCCCTCCCCCTCCCCCTCCCTCATCCCTACGTTTGCGAGTTTTGATTAGAGTCAAAAAGATAAGGTTCAGTGACCGTACTGCGGACATAGCAAAAGAGGAAATAGCGGCGAAGGAAAAGGCAACGCCATCGTCGATCTATTGGCTGACGAAGGTCATTGCCAGAAGACGGTTGCTATTTTTTTAATACTATTATTATTTTTTGCTGATGATTGTTCTGACAGAGATTGTGAGCAATTAGCCGCAGAATAAATGTGCGAGCGAGCGCTTCCTCAGTTCTAAATTCTCTGCCCTTTTGATCTCTCAAAGGTCAGGTCAGGTCAGGTCAGGTCAGGTCAGGTCACCACTTTCTCCAAAAGGTGAAGCCGGCGGCTGCTGTCCTTAAACCCTTCGGAGCGAGGGCGTAGCAATCGAACAACCGACCGGCCGATCGACCAACCGACAATCAAACGACCGACCGACAAATCAAACGACCGACCGACAATCGAACGATGGACCGACCGATTGACCGATCGACCGACCGACAATGGAACGACCGACCGACCGATCGACCGACCGACAAATCAAACGACCCACCGACAATCGACCGACCGACCGACCGACCGACCGATTGACCGATTGACCGATTGGCCGACCGACAAACCGAGTGCTCTGAAATAATCGAATACTGGAGTACTGATGTGATAATATTAATTACTGGTAGACTGCTACCTTCGTCCCCCGACCGATTGNGACAAACCGAGTGCTCTGAAATAATCGAATACTGGAGTACTGATGTGATAATATTAATTACTGGTAGACTGCTACCTTCGTCCCCCGACCGATTGGCCGACAGACAAACCGAGTGCTCTGAAATAATCGAATACTGGAGTACTGATGTGATAATATTAATTACTGGTAGACTGCTACCTTCGTCCCCCGAATACAACGTAATATGGTCAGTATAGCTGTATTTAGACATGAAAGATACCCCAAATACAGCTGTAATGACCATATTACGTTGTATTCGGGAGAAGAAGGTAGTCCTTTTTTTTTGTGAGCAGCACGTGGTTGGTATTCTTTAAGCGAACAAGTGTTGAAAACCTCCCAAGGGAGGGAGGGGGAAAAACTCAAAAAAGTTACCACGGATCATTCATTCATGTGACCACCAATTAGGAATGTAATCAGCAATTCATGTGACCACCAATTAGGAAGGTAATCAGCAATGTGTAACCAACCGTTCAGTATTTGATTGTTAGTACTGTATGATCTTGTGATACGTGGCTATGAACATGCCATCTTCACGATTGTCATCATCACCATGACCTTCACGAGTTTTCATGCTTGTAATCATCACCTTCGTCAATGTCGTTATCAACATCCACAGTCATCATCACGTCAGATAGATAAGCGAGCAAGCATGCGGAAAGGATGACATATGTGTGCGTGAGAGAGAGAGAGAGAGAGAGAGAGAGAGAGAGAGAGAGAGAGAGAGAGAGTACACATCTAGATGTGTATA